TATATCTATATATATCTATATATATCTATATTACACACAATAATACATACCTCTCCTCGGGGACCTGCGACTCAAAGGCACCAAGGTCTCAGGTCCCCGGCCGCTCCTCCGTAAGTCTGTGTACTGGCCTCCCCACAGACTTTTCCCCAGAGTGTATCCTACTAGTGTTCCAACAAAGTACCGCGGCCCCCACAACCCGATGCCGAATCCGCTGAATGCGGAGACAAACACTGGGCTCCGAGTCCGAGCTCACTGGAGCAGCGACAACAAACACCCGTCTATTTAAAACAAAATATACCCAGAAAAAAAACATGTTTTAACAGTATTTTATTTTGTAAAAAGTATATCTATATATATCTATATATATCTATATTACACACAATAATACATACCTCTCCTCGGGGACCTGCGACTCAAAGGCACCAAGGTCTCAGGTCCCCGGCCGCTCCTCCGTAAGTCTGTGTACTGGCCTCCCCACAGACTTTTCCCCAGAGTGTATCCTACTAGTGTTCCAACAAAGTACCGCGGCCCCCACAACCCGATGCCGAATCCGCTGAATGCGGAGACAAACACTGGGCTCCGAGTCCGAGCTCACTGGAGCAGCGACAACAAACACCCGTCTATTTAAAACAAAATATACCCAGAAAAAACACTTGTTTTAACAGTATTTTATTTTGTAAAAAGAATGTGAATTCATATATTTAAAAAAATGTTTTATTTATTAGCTTGTAGGCTTTATAGGAATATGTTTAACGTTTTGTTGACTTTTTCCACATAACATGTAGTTAACAGTACGGGTGTAATACCTACTCCAACCATAGGGGCACTATTGGGTATCTTCATTCATTGATTTAACAGGAAACAGAAGAAGAAGCAGCGATGTGCTGGCTCAGATTATTAAGACATACTGTGTCCTAATTGAAGTTCACATGGTATTCTCTGTCTCCTCTCAGTACATAGGAGGCATCTATCACCGACTTGGACATACATTATGTCTGGTTGTTTTATTGTGGTGAGATTCTACAGCTTGATTTAGGCAGATGTGAGGTGTCAAAAGCAGGAAATGTGCCTCATCAGGGTCAGAGTTCACAACCAGATTGACAGGAGCAGCATCCTCACACTCTCTCATATGGAAGCCTGTTTCTCCCCTCTTTGCTGACTGAAACTGATTCCAGATCATGCTTGTGTGCTCCAAGCATCCAGGAAATCCTTGTATTCTGGCTTTCTGCACTGAGGTGTCAATAAGCTTATTCCTCATAAACTTGACAATCTTACCTTCTACAGTCAGAAGGCTAATAAACCCAAACTGCGCTACCTCAACCAAATCTTTCTTCTCATAAAATTCCCTCCTGTTCTTCTCCATGACTAAGGAACAAGCTACTTCCTTCAATCTACTCTGAGAATCCGCCACAAAAATTGCAACATGTTTGAATCATCTTTATACGGCATACAAGGTAAGCAATTAGACCCAGAGGCCAATCCTGATCTTCCCCACCTAACTACCATTTCCACCTCTCTCAACATTGCTGCACTGATGTTTGTAGGGTGGTCTACTGCCCCAGTAGGGAACATATTATTGAGAAGCAGCCATGGCCTTGCACCTGTCACTGACAACACCAATTCCTATTGTTTGGGCAAAGAGAATACAGCTACACAACACTACATGAATATTTGGGGTCATTTTTGTAGGTGTATCCATTTTAGTGATGTAATGTGGGAGAAGCAGCTGGCAAAATGAGGATATTTTATGATTTAATGGACTAACTTGCTGGAAATCAGATCTTGATCAGTGCAGTATACACTGTAGTACTGCTGGACTAGTTTGACAGTGAGCTACTGTATCATGTGAATAAACTGTCAGTGACATTAAGTCTTCTTTACCGAAGCAGTGCAGAGATCAAAGGAACAGGCAACATTACAAATAATGGCTTTAATATAATTAGTTCTGATGTCCACAGAGTCACTGTGCTGCACGGTGGCTCTACTCATCCTGAATCTCTTGCAGCATCTTCAGCTGGTCCTCAATGATCTTCAGTTCCTGCTGCAACGATGACATCTGAACATAAGGAACAAAATATGAATCAGATGATGCTAGCATGAAACTATAGTAAAACAGAATTACTGCACATAACATATTAAAACAAAGGAATGAAGCAGCACACTAAAATAATTAAAGAATATCTTAAAAACCTAATTATGAATTAAAAAGCTGTTATGGTCAAACGTTATTTTATCATATTGAATTTTATAAGAACCCATTTTTATTTAAATTAATTTTAGGAACTTTGAAAAAAGTAGAAATAAAAATGGCCATAAATTACATTTCACATAAATGTATAATAAGGTGTTCATTTACATATTGTGACATGATTATTTGTTGTTTGTCTATACAACATTGAATTTAATACAAATTTCCATAGGTTCAAGGCAGAAATACCCACTTATAAATAACCCATAGCAGCGCCCCTGCACATGGATACCCAGTGCTCACCTTAATGTCCATCTGCTGTCTGACATGAACAGGAACCTTAGTCAGGTAGTCTGGAGACCGGACTCTGCAGAGGATGTCCTCCAGCTTTGGAACAAGCTTCTCTCTGCGCTGGAAGAGCTGCAGGATCTGTTTGTCGATGTTCGTTCCACTCTGAGAGTCAAGATCACATAATATTTTATGTTACACATGATGAACATCCTAATAATTATGCCTGGGTTATACTCGGGTGTACAGTGAAAATTATTTGTCAGTACATTGTCTTGATTTTAGCTTTGGCAGTAATGATGCATTTGATTAAAAAAAAACTTGTTGTTTTTCAGTGAAGCTTGTCTCTGTGAATTATGGCAATCTGCAATCTTGCAATTCATTTAGATCTGGTGAGTTATTTTTAGTTGCAGTAGTGGGGGTGGGAGGTGAATGCTGGCCCCCTGCCTGGGCAAATCACAGACACCTGCACGTCATGCAGGACGCTGCTTGACTGCATATTTATAAGGCAAACCTTTTTCAGATACTGTAACTTGAAATGTTTCCATTTAACTTGGCTACAAATCACTTGCTGAAAAATATTAACCAAAAAAAAAAAAAAACACACTGCTGGATAAACAGTAGAGGTTTAAATCAGAGGAGAGTGGCTGTGGAAAAACAGCTGAACAGGCCGAAGCCTCTGCCCGTGTTGACACCACTGGGCTCAGAGGACCTGGGGATGAGGAGGCTCTCAAGCATAAACCACGAAGGCGTCTTTTCATGCTGTGAGTTACTGTATGCTAATGACAGAGTCTGTTTTACTGTGACAAGCTACATGTTGTGAATGAAAATGTGGATCTTAACCAGGATCATGTTTATGTCGTAATCTTAGGTTCAGTGGCCGAGAGCCCACTGGGGACATTTCCTTGTGGCCTGAGGCTCGTCTGACCTGCTGTGAAGAGTCAACCTGACGAGTGATAATATAGGAAGCAGGAACAGGCAGACAGGACCTCTCAGTCCGTGTATGACGGTGAAACTCACCCCAACCGGTCGAGGCAGAAGGCCGCCCAGCAAGAGCCAGGGTCCGTCAGAGGTTTCTTCTATTAAAGGGAGTTTTTCCTGCCCGCTGTCACCAAGTGCTGCTCAGGGGAAATTGTTGGGTTTTCCTCTATAATAATAATAACAGTAAGGTCTAGACCTTACTGTTATTATTTACCTTTGTAAAGTGTCCTGAGACAACTTTTGTTGTGATTTGGTGCTATACAAATAAAACTAAATTGAAATGAACTGGGGGTGGCGCAGTGGTTAGCACCGTTGCCTCACAGTGAGAAGGTTCTGGGTTCTGTGTGGAGTTTGCATGTTCTCCCCGTGCTTGCGTGGGTTCTCTCTCGGTGCCACACGCTCGCCCGGCCCCCCCCCCCCCCCGTGCCCCGGGTTCAGGGACTAAGCGGTAGAAAATGAATGAATTGAACTGAACTCTTACTCCTGCCTCAGTGTCAAAAATGATGTCATTATGTCTCTTGGCAACACGCATGCTGTAGCAACCGTCTACTTGCTTTTCCAGCGGTAACATTTTAGAGAAGACACGGTGGAATGAGCCGCCGTTATGTTCGGTAGAAAAGGAAAGGTGGATGAAAGAGGGAGGGAATGAAGAAGAGAAGGGCCCTTGCCACAGACACAGCTAAATGCAACAAAATAAGCAACATATTTGTCAGTAAATAACACTAGCTACAACACAAATGACATACCAGCATGACTGTTATGCTGCATACTCAGACCTGTCTTAATGGCCGAGTATGATGAACACTGAAAGAATCTGACTCCGGTACAGAGACGCTCAGTGTGATTGTAAGGCAACACGTTACAGAAAATAACAATGCTAAAAATTAAGAAATAAAAAATAAAAACACTTAGGATAAAGCAGAAAATGTGTGCATTCAAATAGGAAATATGTGCAATCCAAAACAGGAAAAGGATGGAAGAAAAAGGGAGACTATACATATACACATGTATATACATTACAGCTGAAGGGCTTTTCAGCTTGATGTGGACAGTGGTTATGTTTACGATGTACTGCACTGGGGTGATTGTTGTGTTTTGTTACACCATCGCTGGTTAAGTGTTCATTAGAGTAACAGCCAGGGGGAAGAAACTGTCCTTGTGCCTAGCTGTCTTGGTGCACAGTGACCTGTAATGCTGTCCAGAGGGGAGGAGTTCAAACAGATTGTATCCGGGGTGTGAGGGGTCTGCAGTGATCCTCTCTGCCCTCCTTTGGACCCGTGCGATGTACAGGTCCTGCATGGAGGGCAGGCTCACACCAATGACCTTTTCTGCAGTCCTGACTGTCCACTGAAGTCTGTACTCGTCCTGTTTGGTTGCTGAGCCAAACCAGACAGTGGTGGAGGTGCCACTTTCTTTACTAAACACCACACACCAGCAGTGTGTTGACCAGTACTGTCCATGTTAACACTCAACAGGAACTAGCTCCAAATTCAATTCACACATATTATAATGAACTAATACACACAGTTCTCAGTTTTTTACAGCACTGGAGGATTCTGATCTTGGATGTACTGATTCAATTTGCTCCACACTCTGACTAGTCTGTGGTAGAGCCGGGCATTTTTCAACTGTTGCTGGTGAGTAAATGGTTAAATGACCATACCAAAGAAAAGGAGCACACAGCAATAAAAAAAGCAGACCAAGTTAGCAGCCAGCCTCCGCTCTGCCCTCATCTTAGGAAATTAATGACACTCAGCAACATATAAACATTCCAGTCATCCAGCCACAGCTGCTGCTGTGCCATGTCTGAAATGTAATCATGACACAGAGGTTACCACCTTCTGATAATTTCAGCCTACTAAAGGGTTACAGCAGCAAACCAGCCATGGCTTAACCATGAATCAATCAGGCCCATCTTATCTTATTTTTACTCCTCTCCCTCTATGTAAAACCACCCATATTATTAAATCCGAGGCTGACAAGTGTCCAGTGACATTATTTTAAAATCCACTGGGTCCAAACAACAAGCGTTCCCTGAGCTAAAACTAGTTGACAGGTCGGGTGGTTTACTCTCTCCTCCTGGTGTTTTCCTAAAAGCCCATTAGCTCAGAGATAACCAACAACGACACAAAACACCACTCTCCTAGTTTTAGTGATGTCCATCTCTGAGACGTCACAAATTTAGACACACTGAAAAAGTTTATGGCCTCTAGTGCTAACCCTTGTCACTTTAGTTTACAAACAAAACATTTCCTGTTGCTGCTCCTTCACATTAAAAACCCAAACTGGCTACTGATATTGTTTGGAAAAAGAAAATCACAAATACACAACTTCTTTCTTCAGATCACAGAAAATTACCAATATTAGAAAGTGAGCAAACAAAGCCTTTGCCGCCTACTTGCATGTGAACAATACTCACGTTCATGTTCTCTAGTTGCAAACTGATCCACTCAGTTCACCATAAACATGACGGTGCTCGTTTAGCTTGTTCATGCACAGCACAGGTGTTGACACATTAACTTTCCAGAAAACCAGCTAATTTAGCACACGACTCTGCCTTCACTGCTACTTCTGTATTTATGGAGCTTCCATCCTGTGTGATGCTATGTGATGTAAGCCACTCAGAGGAGTTTAAGTGCAAAGGAAACAGAGGATGAGAAAAAAAGTAGTCAGATGACTAAGACAGAAACATGATTAGGGCGATCTTATTTATATTTTGCAGAATGTGTCTATTCCTTGATCAATCATTTAGTCTATAAAATGTCAGATCACAGTGAAAAATCCTCCAGAATACAGTAAGTCAGGTAATAATTGTGGACTTTCATACAATTGGTACTTATGAGAAGCACCTAACCTCTGCATCAGAAGGAGATTCAAGTTAAGCATACCTGAACATGAAGGTGTAGCTGACACATATGGTCCACCACACCAATGAGGCTTCCTTTAGGTGGAGGAGTGCAGTGGTCAGAGAGGAGGCTGTCTGCTTTATGAGGATAGTAGATATTGAGGGCGGAGATCCGGCTTAAAGTACAAAGAGCTGATCGGAAATTATGGAAAACCTGGGCCTGGCTGGGTGAACACACTGCCCACACTGAAATACACAACATACAAGCAAATGGTCATCCATCCCTCCATCCTTTTTGTTTCGGTGGCCATTATGGCACACACAGAAGCAGCTGATTTGGTGCTATACAAGTAAAACTGAATTCAATATAGTAGTCATCAAATTCAAATTCTATTTTATTTGTATAGCGCCAAATCACAACAAAAGTCATCTCAGGACACTTTACAACGTCAGGTCTATTCTGGAACTGGTTGTTTTCAGCTGTTAAATGACTTACTGGAAGGCTTTTCTTTGGTCATGCCACACTGGGCTCGTAGAGAGCGGGCCACTCGGATCACTTCTTGAACCAGCAGGAAATTTCTTTCCTCTTCAGGAAAATGCCAGTGTGTCTGGGAGGATGATGAGTTTAAAAAGGAGCACATGAGCTAAAACACAAGGAAAGTTGAAAATCCATACAAACCTTTTTTACACAATGTCGCCTTTGGAAGTGTCATTAATGTACAACACCATTTCCAAAACAATTTGGGTTGCCATGTATACTGTCACTAAAACCCCCTTTACCACACAGTCATTTGGTAACAGTACAAAATCTAATGATCAAATCAAAATACTTTTGTTTGCATAAGCTTATTCTGCGTTTGAGGCCAGCAAGACATTCCAAAAAGTATTTAAAACTTCTTTTTAGTCATTTCTTTTTAGCAGATTTAGCTAATTGCAGTTTAAAGTCATTTTGTGTTACGTTTTAAATTCTGAACATAATTTTAACAATCTTGAAAATAGCACGTGAATGTGCAAAGCAGAATTTTGGTGATAGTTTAGTTTAAAAAACTGTTCATGACATTTGAATGATGTGGCCATTGAATACATGTTGTGTCAAAACAAAGAAAAGCTATCCACAGGTCATTCCAGGGTGACTGCTGTTGGACTATACTGTCTTCTGAAAAAGCATCCACTTGGTACTGGGAACAGCATCTTACCAGTTAGAAAAACGAAGCTTAAAGCAAAAAGGTTAGGCTTCAGATATAGACAAAAATGGTAGAAATTCCATGTCTGTCTCTAAACATGGTTCAATTCCACTGTAAATGTTTCAATTACATAAATCTAGAGAAAGAAAACCCTTGTTGTGGTTGTAAGGCAGTATGATGCTTGTGGTCCTACCAGCTGAGAGGAGCAGGGGTATGGTTCTAAACACAGGCTGGTCTGGGCAGCAGCTCCAGGTCTGAACGGCTGGAGTCTCTGCCATAGCTCCTCAGTGATGAAAGGCATGAAGGGGGACAGCAAGGCAAGAGATACAGACACACAATGATAGAGGACGCTGCTGGCCACGTGCTTTGCTCTGCCACTGTGCTCTCTCTCAGTCTGGAACGCTGCACCTTCGTCCTGCTGGACCAGCACAGGCTTCACATGTTCCTACAGGACAAACACACAAATAGAGAAGGAAATGACAAACACTTGTTACGTCCATGCTGGGGTAACAATCAACAGCTCAGCCAAACACTGGCTTTATCAATATGATACTGTTAAAATCAAATTTTTAATATCCTGTGACTGTTACTATGAATAAAACAAGTAAACAGATCACTCTTTGTTTTTAGACTGAGGAGTAAGTACCCACTTACAATGGGGACATGTCTAATGTCTAATCTGTCCTTTTTAATGACATTAACAGTGTTCCCCTAATGCTATACAAGAGTTACGCTCCTCACCATGTAGACATCACACAGGCTATGGACCCAGAAGGAGTACAGGGCAGATGTGACAGTGTGCAACTCATAGGCTTCAAAGGCCAGCTCACATTGTAAAACTGTGCTGTAGAGTCTGGAGCAGATCCACCGGTCCATGCCGCTCAGAGGAACTGTCTGGAAAAGAGAAAAACAAATGTCCCTAAAGAGTTGCATATTCAGTACACCTTAGCTTCAGTATGCATTTTGAAACAGATTAATTTGTTTGGACCAAACACATTGTCTTCTGGTTTGTTTTGTTAGTTTTCAGGACACCATCTTCAGTATGCCACTTAGCATTTAGCACCCCTGTGTGAGTTTGCTACCTTTAAAAATTAAAACCCAAAGAGGGGTAAAACATGCTGGGCTGATGAAAGCAAACAGCTACAGTTAATATAATTGATAATGGCTGTGTTAGATTTACAGTCTGTGTGCGAATGATCAAGCACTGACAATAGCTAATACTGGCAGTGAAGAGGCGGTGGGGGGCCCCCAAATCAAATTCTTCTTAGGGCCCATAAAGACTTGGGCCGGCCCCTCGAGCCAAGTGAGTGAAAATGTTTTTGTATGTGCATTTCTCCGTGTCCAACTGATTTTTGCATGTGTGCCTTTTCTCAGTAAACGTACATCTGCAGTAAACGCCATGCAGAGGTCATTTGTTAGAACTGGTTCAGTTCACACTATGTAATGTGTACAATGTCTTTGTTGTGGAAAATGTTGTTACAAAACGCACAAAAAGGTTATTTTAAGTCAAAAAGTAACAGATATTAGCCGTGTTGTGTCATGACAGTTTTGTAAATGCGTTCCAGGCTACAGGCGGTCGTGACTCAGGACGTTGAGCTGAGTCCGGCTGTCCTGTAGCGGGCCTAGAGGAACCAACGATAAGATGGACAGACTGAAAAAAGCAGTTTTCAAACTGATCTGAGCTGAGCTCTCCGATTGCTTTTTTGAAAAGATCGTCGAGATGTGAGGTTGAGTGAACAGAGAGAGGATCCTACTTTATTCACGCTGGTCCTGTCAGTGAGTTAGCTCTAGCCAACATCTATGGCACATATTGATGTCAAAAATGTTTGACAGCACACAAACCAGATTTCAAGCACCACTTAGTAAGCAAGTCAGCATTTGAGTGTGCACAAGAGTGTGTGCTATTTGTAAGAGCAGAATAAGATTTGAGCATACAACCCCGGCCATGCCCGCAGTCATTTCTGAACCTGCTCTCCCAGTCTCTGCTAGGGGTTTGGCATGAAAGAATGCACTGGACAGGGCACAAAACAACGTCAAGCACTACTCTGTTTGCAAGTCTGAATTTGGCTCAAGGCTCAAGATCAGAAATGTGCTGCCTTCACTTAGACACTTTTACAGAGGGTTGTCAAATCGTCCTTGAATCCAAGTAGACGTTTGTGCTGAATTTGAAGACATTCTCTCAAGGCGTTCCTGAGATATGGTGGTCACAAGAATGGGATTGACATGAGGGCAGAGTCACCTTAACCTCTGTGACCCCTGATTACCAAAATCTAATCAACTTATCATAGATTCCAAATGGGATGGATGGATGAACAGACAACCTGAAAATATAAATGCATCTGACCATGGCTGTCGCCGGCACAAAGGTGTGAAAGTGAAGTCCTTTCTTTGCAGCAGTTTCTTTGCTGTACCTCTTCCAGTGTTCCCACTGGTGTTGTGTTTTCACTCATCACTCCAAGTGTGAATCTTAGCGTCTGCCACATTTTGTTACAGAAGTATCTGCAGTTCAGGACCCGAGAGATGGACAGACTGATGTCTTCTCCTGATACAGAGGCAGAAAAACAAACACAGTGTGAACATAAACACATTTTAAGGTAAATAGTTTTTCAGTTCACCGAGTTCACCGACTGGTCTGTACCTTCCACCAGTAATTTGGTCTATAGTAGCAATATGGACAAGTTTAATAAAAGAAAACAAAACTCTAAATACTAGAAGCCAAACAAGCCAACCATGCAACCTTAATCCTAAAATGGCATCTATAGCTAGAAAAACTATTAAATCAATGTCTAATGAAAGAATAAGAAAACCAAGTTACCAATCTGACCTGACACCCATAGCCAACTTTAACACCCCACAAGTGAGCAAGTGCTCATTCCTGGTGGATTATTTTGTAAAGTGAACATAGAATTTCTGCTGTATAGCTCGTAATGAAAGACACATAAAATGTAAAAGGTAAAATAGCTGTTGCCAAGAATTGAAAAGTCAGTTTTTAAAGAGATGCAGCGCAAATCACCTGTTAAAATGGAACAGAAAAGTGACACAAGTCACAAGAAACTCTAGCTCTGTCAGTTTTTCACTGCAGTCCCTCACAACTCATCTCTCTCGGTCTCCCAGTGTGCAAACCCAAATCAGTTGGGACGGTATGTAAAATCAAAATTAAAACTGAAAAAAGCGATGTGTAAATCCTCTGTGTCCTGTATTACATTGAAAACAACACAGCAGCACATTATTTGATGTGACACTTCGTCAGTTTGTTTCTTTGTTCAAAATAAACACTCACTTCAGTTCCGATGCTGCAACACATTCCGATAACAGTTGGGTCGGCTGCATTTCGGGGCCAGTAACAAGGTAAACAATGAAATGATGATTCCATTTGAACCAGGTGATGTCAACAGGTGTTGGGTTAGGGTTTCCAGGTGTTTCCTGAAAGGCCAAGCCCTTTAGGAGCAAAGATGGGCCGAAGACCACCAGTTTGCCAACATACTGTATGTGTGAGAAAATGATTGAAATGTTTAGTTTGGATCTGTCACCCTCTACGGTGCAGAGCATCATCAAAAGATTCAAAGATTCTGGAGGATTTCAGTGTGTAAAGGCCGAGCCTCAGCTGGATGACCAAGCTCTCTGATCCCTCAGACGGCACCGCATCAAGAATTGTCACTCTTTTTCCAGCGATATAACTACATGGGCTCAGGATGACTTTGGCTCACCTGTGTTAGCCACTACAATACGTAGTTACATCCATATACGCTGCTTAAAAGTGGACTGTGCCAAAAGGAAGCTCTATGTTAACAGTGTCCAGAAGTCGACTGCTCTGGGCTCAGAGGCACCTGGGATGGACCATCACACAGTGGAAACGTGGACTCTGGTCAGACCAATCAGTGTTTAAGGTCTTTTTGGAAGGAATGGACGCCGTGTGCTCTGGACCAAAGACTAAAGGACCATCCAGAATGTTAGCAGCAACAAGTCCAAAAGCCAGGGTCTGTCATGGTCTGGGGTTGTGTCAGTGTCCAGGGCAAAGGTCACCCACACTTCTGTGATGGCTCCATTAATGCTGAACAATACAGAGATGTTGGAGCAACATCTGCTGCCTTCAAGACAATGTCTTTTCCAGAGACGCCCATTTCAACAAGACAATACAAACCTCACACTGCCACATGATCAAGGCCTGGCTGTGGAGGAAAAGAGTGCGAGTGCTGGACTGGCCTGCCTGCAGCCCCCACCTGTCCCCAGTAGAGAATGTGTGGCATGTTTTGAAATGCAAATTACATCAACGAAAACCCAGGACTGTTGTACCTTAAGACTTGTTCATAGGCAGAATGGGACAGAATGACACCTGACACATTGAATCACTTGGTGTCCCTAAATGTCTTTAAGTGTTGTGAAAAGTAACGGCAGCATCACACCGTGGTCAATGCTTTACTGTCCCAACTTTTATTGGAATGTGTTGCAGCATCAGAGTTAAAGAGTTTTATTTTGAACAAAGAATAAAGTTGATGAGGTGTCACATCAGATAATGTGCTGCTGTGTTGTTTTCAGTGTATCAATCTTGATTGTACATACTGTGCCAACATTTTCTGATTTGGGGTTGTAGAAAGTTGCACCCATTCTTGTTTAATGCAATGCTGTTTCACATTCACACATTCATTCACTCTGACCAATGGTCTTTATCATCAGATAAACTGAACAGAGAAGAGAATCAGTCACCCTGTATCTTGTGAGAGCAAAGGGCAAATCTCAGAGCATCAGTCCCACACTGAGGGATCCCCTTAGGGAAGTCTTTCCTCTGTGGAAAAGCAGATGAAGAGAGAGAGAAGAAGTAATAATGAGTGTGCTCATCAAGAACCCCAGTTGGGAAAAAGGGGAACTGACCTGTGCTTCCATGGCAACTAGCCGCTCCCGGGGGTTAAGGTTCCACGCCTCCACTGTTTG